AACTAGTTTCCCCCCCCCCCCGGCTCCGGCTCGGCAGCCGGTTCAGCCCTGCCGGTACCTGACACTTCATGAGCATGTTGAAGAACTCATCCCCGGGCTCCTGGGCATCCCCCTCCACACGCAGGTGCCCCAGGTTGTTGTGTGTTATCCGGAGGCCTGGCAGGTTGCCCACGTTGGCACGCTGGTCATCCAGCCGTCTGCTCTGGGAGCTGGCGATGAGATCGAAGAATTCCTCAGTCTGCGGAGACGCCATTAAGGAGGACTGTGCTGTGAGTGGGGAAGAGGAGTACACACCAGGGTCACAGCTCTGCTCATGCCTGAGCTGCAGCTCTGCTGTCTGCAGAAAGTCCAAATCCTTCTCATCACCAAACTGCTGTTCAACCAACCGAGCTGCAGCCGAGCCTTACACGCTACTCCCAAGGGACAGGGGCTTTGTCGTACAACACACTGTGACTGTCGGTGTCTCCTTTCACCCTGTGTCGGGGAGCGGGAACAATCCCAGTGCCAGCAACACAAGTGAGCAAAAACCTACCATCAAAGCAACAAGCGTTAACGGGGAGCAAAGCCCACTGCCCCATCTCGCAACCACTTGCTCCCTTTTCTGAAGGCCGGTGCTATAGCACAGCCCTTGGTACCCGCCTCCCAAAAAGGCCTTGGGCTGCATCCCCGCAGTTGCCCTGCACAAAGGGCGAGCAGGACCGGCTGCGAGGAGCCTGCCTGCGCACAGCTCCCGGCCCAGCAGCCAAGGCCTTTAGCGGGACCCTCTGACCTGCCTTCCCTATGGGAAGCAGAAAAGCTCCAGTTCAGCAGAGTTGGAGTTTCCATTTCCAGCTGGAGTGCAGCTCCCCCGAGAGCTGTGCACGCTGCCTCCAGCACGCTCCCTGGCCAACAAACTTCTTGAACGAACACATCCAATTTATGGGGCTGGGCTGTGAAAACAGTACAGTACACTCCAGAGCCTGCCTCCCGCAACAAGCCTGCCATGCGCACACAAACCCATCAGGCAGCAAAGGGGGAAAGTAGGTGCCTTGGCAGGGTGGAGAGCAGAACCTCACGTACACATCTCCCGCTGCTGCACCTCCCATGAGGGGCTCCCTGCTATTTACTGCGCTTCAGCCAGCTCCTGGGGGACACCAAAGACGCCACCTCAGCCCAGAAGATCCAGTGCCCAGACATTAACCGCTGCCCGTGCGCGATCACTGTTGTTTCCAGCACAACTGCAGGCAGCTTCTGCTGCTGCTTCCACTCGGGTTTCCACCTCGAGCCGAGAGGCACCGCTGCACAGGGGCCAACCCGCACCTCGCTCGGGGCACGGGGCTGGGCAGACACCGGCAATTGCAGGTGAGCGCAGAGTTCCTGAGCGCTTGTGTGGCTCGGTAACAGGCACCCTGCACGGTCCCGAGGGCCGGGTATAATTACAGGCAGGTAATCGGCAAAGCCCAGGCCTGGCTAAGCCACTCACCTGGCGGCACATCCTTCGCAGGCCCCCCAGAAGCCCAGCCTTTTTGGGCCAGCTCAAGTAGAGGCGCTGCCGAGGTGAGCCCTGCAGACGCTCTGGCTGTCACGAGCTGCAGGACCCGCGTCACAGCACACGTGAGGAAAACACTCGTGGGGTCTGGTTCTTCTCATCACGCGGAGCGGAGCCAGCCTGGGCTCAAGTCTGCCGGGAGGGGGCTGGCACGAGCTGGTGGCAGGGGGTCCCAGTCCAGAACCTATACATCTAATCTATGCTCTGTAAACCCTTGGGGGGGCAGTACCCCATCCAGACACCCAGCATGCCTGGTACTTTCTAGCCATGGGGGTGGAGCACTGGAGGAGCCGTCAGCCCCCGCACGGCGGGAGCGCAGCCCCGCACAGGCAGTGACCCCAGCCTTGGCACGCCTGCTCTGGCTGGCATCGCGTTGGCACCACCGAGGGGCTCACGCCGGGCAGAGCAACAAGGGGACAAAGGGAGGATTTTCAAACACAGCACACGAGCAATGCCGGGACCTCGGCAAAGCGAGCGAGTGAGCCAGCCCCCGGCCCTGGAAACGCCTCTCGGGCAGCGCTCAATGGAAAGAGCCTGCTGGCTCCTGGCAGCTGCTGGGCAGTGAAACGCTCCCAAACAACAGACGCTGCGCTCGGGACAGGGACAAGCAAAAGAAAACCATAAGAAAGCCAGCCCGACTGGTGTTACTGTCCCAGTGAGCACAAAGCACTTGAGGAGAGGGTGCCCAAGCCTCCCGACACAACGTGCTCTTTTTAGAGCCCCAGCTCATGGAGTTGCAGAAACACATAAAAATCTCAGTGCTGGCACAAAGATGACTTTCTTCCCCTTCAGCTCACAAAGAAACCTCGAAAATAACATGTCTGAAAGGCTCAGAGACCAAACGAGAGCTGAACAGAACATGTGCCTGCTTGGACATTCTTTATAAAGCTTCGTATTTTAAACTGTCTCCTAAATTACACAGCTGTTACAGCCAAATGCACTTCTGTATCAGAAAGGTGTATCTTGAAAAAGCGATGCTCTTTCCACCCTATTTTTAGAAGATAAAAACCTGCTCACCTCACAGCCAACCTGCCTTCCTGCCGCAGCCTGACCTTCTCCACACTGCTCTGCCCTCGCTGCTGCCGCTTCAGCCCCTGCTCCTGGCACCTACTTCTCCGAGCAGTCTTGCGCTGCAGCTCTTGCCGCGCTCGGAGGGATGTCAGGGGTCTCCTCCTCTCCTGTTTGTACTTCGTGTTCATTTGGAAACCGATAAACAAATCCATTGGTTCAAATGAAGTGTTTTGAGCCCTTTGTGATGGTGCTTAAGCGCGCAAGTGTGACCTGTGCATTTCAGTGCTTCTCTCCAGCTTGGTTTAAACAAAAGACCTCAACACCGTATCATAAAAAAAGACACGAAACCGAAGTGCAAACACAGACCTGACCTGCCTTTCCTGTCCCATCTATTTGTCAGACAGCTTCCTCAATTTATCCCTGTTCTTCCTATGGATGAGCTAGCTGTCTGCCTGCTGGAGCTTCCTACTGTTTATCCATCCTTCTGGCTTCTTTGTTCTTACACAGCACCTATCACCACAGCATCCAAGAACTGTACAAAATCCAGAAGTTTTTCCTCCATGGCAACGCTATGAGAAAAACTGGCAATACTTTTAACCTGCCTGTGAAAGCCCATCCCAGCCCTCTGCATGCCCCAGCTCTCCAGGCTCTTACAAGGGTCCCTCAGTCGTGACCATCAGCATCTTCCTCCTGGAGATGCTGGCAGAGGCAGAAGTCCTCATGGCAACCTCACTGTTTGGAAGGCCAGACCTTCAAAAGATCTGTACTGAAAAAATCCAACTATATTTTGCATTTCTCTTGCTGGTTTACTCTCCAAGCCTTCATTCATATTCTCCAGCCTTTCCCTCAGCAACCATTAACATAAGAATGTTTCTTTCTTCCTTAAATAATGATGGAGGTTGCCAAAGAACTACTAAGTTCAGAGAGCTGAGGCTTAGGGAAAACATCAGAAGATTCACAGTAAAACCACAACAGCTGGCCACACCATGGGAGCAGCATCGCTCCCATAGTAATAGTGACTTATAAACGCATCGGTGCTTACATATCCGTTCTTCCAGGGCAGGGACCGGTGTGGCAGCTGCCTCTGCAGCCTCCGATGGGCATTCTTCCAACGGGCAGCGCTGATCATCCATCCGGTTGCTCTGGAACTTGCTCAGCAGGTCAAAGAAGCATTCCTCGTCTGAAGGGGTCCGGTTGATTTTCTGGAAAGACAGTAAAATACAGAAGAGAGTCAGAACGCCCCAAACAACTCCTTGTATCCAATTGCTCCGTTTGGCTTGGCCTCAGCAATGCGTCGTGCCCTCTCCTGGTCTGTTCAGAGGCTGGCTCCTGGCCGTGCCTGCAGCTTGCCAAGCCCCGCAGCCTGGACCCTGCCAGGGGTCACTGCTACTTGGTCCCTTTGTCCTCCTGGCTCTGAAATAACCTCTCCCTTTTTCTCTTGCCACCCTTCGGTGTGGACAATCTAACACCATCCTCCTAGAGGAGGCCACAGGCAGAGCATCACGAAGGTCCCCTCTCCCGCAGGGACCCCCCTCTTCACACCCTCGGTGAAGAGCTGCTCTGCGACTTGTGCTCCGTGAGAGGGGTATCCGTGGAGAGCTGTGGTCCCTCCAACAGCTCCTCCCCCTCCCGGGGGTCACCCCAGAGGCTCTGGGCACTTCCACAGCCCAAACTGGAGCCAGGCTCCTACCAGCGAGCAGATGAGCCTTGCGCAGAGCAGCCTCCGTTGCTGCAGAGCATCTTGAGCGCTCAGAACAAACTGGAGGCTGAAAGGGAAAAAGGGGAGGAAAGGGAACAGCATTCATCCTGGCACAGCTCCGCAGAAAAGAGGAGCTTCTGGGCTGGCAAATGGGTGGGCTCAGACAGAGACCACGGTCGGGAGCACGAGGGACGAGGGGGGACCGCGCGGACGCCCTGGCTGAAGTGGTGGTGTGTGCCCAGCTGAGGCTCAGCTCGAGCTCAGGCATGCCAGCACTCAGCCGTCCTTTCTAACCAGCTAAATTTAACCTTTGCAGGCCACTGCCCCTTGCACTCCCAGTGCTTCCTTTTGGTGCTCCTGTGTCCTCAGCACACCGCTTGTAACAGTCACCGAGCTGCAAATGCCACAAAATTATAGTTTTTCAGGAAAACAGTTCTTGCACAAGAGCCCCAAATAAGCACCTTGCACTAGACAGTGATATATTTAAGTCACACTGCAGAAGGGTTCGCGTTCAAGGCAGCCTCTGAACAGTGCTGTGTTGTGTCCAGTTCCAGCTCAGAGAGGGGCTGCGTGCCCGGTGCTGGGAAAGCAAACCCAGAGTCCTTCTCTGGAGTGGCCGGTGCAGTAAGAACAGCAGATCCTTCCGAGGAGCCACTCAGAACGGGATATAAAATTAAACAGCAGCAAGAGAGGCATCTGCCAGGCTCAGGAAGGGTCCCTGCGTGCTGGGGCTCAGGAAGGGTCCCTGCATCTGGTGGGACCAGATGCTGGAAATAACACCACAACAGAAACCAACCAAAAACTCCTAACAACCGGGTCTGCCTGTGCTGAGCTGTTATCCAGAATGGGGCTGGGGAAGGCCAGTCTGGGAAGGGGCACTGGGTCCCTCCTGGGGAGCAGCACGCCCCACCGGAGAGATGGAGAGAGCACAGGGAGATCTGGCCCAGAGCGCTAGGCCTTTCAGCGGAGAAAGGCTGTTCATGAAGCAAAGCCCCTCTCCCAGCTCTGCTGGTGGCCGTCCTGGGCAGCCCGGGAGCCCTCCCTCTCCTACCACGTGCAGTGCCGTTCCCAGCAGAGAGCCCTTCACCGGGACAGAGGCATGCGAAGCCCTTCAAGGGAGGTCTGCAATGGGGAGAGGCTTGTGCTGACAGGGTTAAAGCCGCAAGTTGGATTCAGTAAATGAAGGAAAACAATTTTCCTGTATGCTAAGCGAAGCAGATGAGATGCACTCAGTTTCTATTTAGGGCAGCGTCAAAATTAGCAGCGGGCCAGAGAGGAACATTAGCAATGTGGGAGCTGATCGGGGAGGGGAAAAACCCCTCTCACCTCTTTCCACGTGCCGATCCACTAATGAAACAGTGGCTCAGATGGACCCTCTGAACCATCAACAGTTGCACCTTGGAAATCAAAGCTTGCTTGGGCTTGAACTACATCTATCACAGCTCTGCTATGCTGGTTTGCGTGACCCAAATTTCAGGCTAGAGGAGGAAGCCGGCTCATTCACACCAAACCTCCCTCTAGCTTCCCCGCAACCGCACAGAGTAAATCAGAGCAGTTGCAGGTCCACAGGAGAAATTTCACCTTGCAGGGAGCAGCTGGGCAGCGCATTGGTCAGAGCCCCCCAGCTTGGGGCTTTTCCCCCCGAGAGAGACCAGATTCCTCCTGGGTGCATCCTGCCAGGGACCCTGCAATTTCCCGTGCCAGGATCTCTGCTCAAAACGTGCCCGGGAGAAGAAAGGATGCTCTGAATCAGTAGGAAGAGCAGCCGGTGCATGCGAAGTGTGGGACAGGGCTGGCTGCATGTCTGGGTACCTCCCAGTACGGTGGCACCCGGAGGGGCAGGAGGCTGATGCCCACAGGCCAGTGTTAGGGCTTGCATGTGCTGCGCCAGCCGGGGACATTGGGTGCCGCAGGGCCCGCGGCAGCACCCGCTGACACCAGGCTCGCTCCAGCGCTGCCCCAGCCAAACTGCGCCCCAGGCCTGCACCTCTCTAATTAAAATGCCCAAATATGACAAGGCATGGAGCGCTTGGCTCCCTCCACTCACAGTCTGCTCCTGGCCCCAAGGAACGAGCTGTGAGGGCAGATGGATGCGTAATCACACCCCGGGGCCCACCGTCTGCTACCGAGCCGTGCTTGCCCAGGGCGGCACATCCAGGACGTTCAGGAGGCTTCCTGAGAGCCAGGGCATCCCCTAATGGTGCCAAGCAATGGTCCCACAATAGCACAGACACACAACAACTGGTCTCCACGGGCCCAAGACCCGGATCCCTAAATGGTTCCTGGGCAGCAGCTCTGGTTTCCAGCCCCAAGATCACTTCTCACCCCACAGCTGGTGTTTCCTGCCTGGCCTCATCACCCGTCCTCCACCTCTAGCACTACAACTGCACAAATTCTGCCAACTGTTATCTTCCTCCGGTCAGCCAGCCTCCATCATGGGCAAAGAGGCAAACCAACCCCTTTTGCACTGGGCAGAGGGACCCGGGGCTTTTGCTGGCACTTGCGGACTGTGGGCTGCCGGCACTGCAGAGATCACCCCCAGGACAGCTTTGGCTGCAAACATGCTTGCCCTTGGCACAGGGCATGGAGACACACACACCTCTCCCCACGTGGGGACAAGGACAAGCGTGGAGCCTCTGCTCCTGCTCCCTGACCCCCGGCAGAACAGGGATGGCCACCGTCCCAGGCAGGTGGAGGCCCCGTACCTGGGGGTCAGAGCTTTGTTCCCGTTTTCTGTGAGTGGTATTTCCACCTGGGCGCTGCTGGCTCACCGGAGAGCTGAACAACCTGGCTAAGGACAGCCTGGGAGGCAGGACTTGCTCACCTGAAACAGGCCTCCCTCACTGGAAGGCATCCAGGCTTTTGCATACATTTATTTGCTGGTGGATGAGCAGGCTGTTTAACCTGCCAGGTTGGATCCAGGATGTATAAAACACAGCTGAGGTGTTGGAAAGGCAGCGAAGAGCAGCTGCGTCTCCACGGGCCCAAGACCCGGATCCCTAAATGGTTCCTGGGCAGCAGCTCTGGTTTCCAGCCCCAAGATCACTTCTCACCCCACAGCTGGTGTTTCCTGCCTGGCCTCATCACCCGTCCTCCACCTCTAGCACTACAACTGCACAAATTCTGCCAACTGTTATCTTCCTCCGGTCAGCCAGCCTCCATCATGGGCAAAGAGGCAAACCAACCCCTTTTGCACCGGGCAGAGGGACCCAGGGCTTTTGCTGGCACTTGCGGACTGTGGGCTGCCGGCACTGCAGAGATCACCCCCAGGACAGCTTTGGCTGCAAACATGCTTGCCCTTGGCACAGGGCATGGAGACACACACACCTCTCCCCACGTGGGGACAAGGACAAGCGTGGAGCCTCTGCTCCTGCTCCCTGACCCCCGGCAGAACAGGGATGGCCACCGTCCCAGGCAGGTGGAGGCCCCGTACCTGGGGGTCAGAGCTTTGTTCCCGTTTTCTGTGAGTGGTATTTCCACCTGGGCGCTGCTGGCTCACCGGAGAGCTGAACAACCTGGCTAAGGACAGCCTGGGAGGCAGGACTTGCTCACCTGAAACAGGCCTCCCTCACTGGAAGGCATCCAGGCTTTTGCATACATTTATTTGCTGGTGGATGAGCAGGCTGTTAAACCTGCCAGGTTGGATCCAGGATGTATAAAACACAGCTGAGGTGTTGGAAGGCAGCGAAACCCGTCCTCCACCTCTAGCACTACAACTGCACAAATTCTGCCAACTGTTATCTTCCTCCGGTCAGCCAGCCTCCATCATGGGCAAAGAGGCAAACCAACCCCTTTTGCACCGGGCAGAGGGACCCAGGGCTTTTGCTGGCACTTGCGGACTGTGGGCTGCCGGCACTGCAGAGATCACCCCCAGGACAGCTTTGGCTGCAAACATGCTTGCCCTTGGCACAGGGCATGGAGACACACACACCTCTCCCCACGTGGGGACAAGGACAAGCGTGGAGCCTCTGCTCCTGCTCCCTGACCCCCGGCAGAACAGGGATGGCCACCGTCCCAGGCAGGTGGAGGCCCCGTACCTGGGGGTCAGAGCTTTGTTCCCGTTTTCTGTGAGTGGTATTTCCACCTGGGCGCTGCTGGCTCACCGGAGAGCTGAACAACCTGGCTAAGGACAGCCTGGGAGGCAGGACTTGCTCACCTGAAACAGGCCTCCCTCACTGGAAGGCATCCAGGCTTTTGCATACATTTATTTGCTGGTGGATGAGCAGGCTGTTTAACCTGCCAGGTTGGATCCAGGATGTATAAAACACAGCTGAGGTGTTGGAAAGGCAGCGAAGAGCAGCTGCGGGGAGCGACGGGGAGCCTGCTGCCACTCTGCTCTCCCCTCTCCCTGCAGCGATGCCGCCCCAGGGAGCCCCTCCGCTCGGCCGGGACCGACAGCTCTTCAAGAGGGGTCAGGGAGCCCAGTGCTGGGGCGGCCCCAAGCCCCTGCCTCTCCCAGGCTGCAGGTCGCTGCCCTGCGGAGCACAAATGCACCTTATTTCC